AAGTGTAACATTTGTAAATGTTTATTTTTGACACTATGATTTTTCAAGAAGCAGGTTAAACAGAATGTTGTTTTGTTTTTTAATCTTTTTCTTTTCTTTTAGGTTCATTCTTTGTCGCTTGTGCTCAACAAGAAATTCAGTGAACTTGCCAGAGCTAGTGTGTCCAAATTGTCTACTCAGCTGCAAATGCTTGGTCTGTATGAGGAACACAARATTGTTGTTATCTAAAAAAGCTGACAAATAATAATGTTGCTCCATGTTGGCTTATGCTTCAGATGGTGACCTGACAATACAAGGAAACTTAGGAAATTTGTCTCTGAGTGACCTGACACCACATGGGGACCTGTACAGAGAGCGCTTTACCACCCAAGGACGGGAGGCTCTTGTCTTCAACATTTTCAAGTATAGTTTATACAGTTCTCAGGACACAATTATTTGACACCATGAATRAGAACCTAAGAGATTTTTGTTGCATTTTGTCTCATGCAGGTACGGACTGCCTGATCCTAACCTGAAGAGGGATTATGACATTAAAGTGTGTTTGCAGATGGCCTCTGTCCTGTATGTGCACACTCAGCGCTTCCAGGCTGAGGTGGTTGCCTTCATGCAGCACTTTACCCAGCTTCAAGATGTCCTCGGCAGGCAGAGGGCTGCAATAGAGGGTCAGACTGTGAGTGTTGCTTTGTTTGGGCTTTTTTCAGTCTAACAAAAAGGTAGAGTTTAATAATCTTGTTAATCTTGTGAAGTGACAACTGTCTTGTGAACCTAAATAAGCCTCATGACTGTTAAAATGATCGTGGAAAGAAGTCCCCACCACTTTAAATTCTTCAGTTGCTTGTGTGGATGGCAAATCAAAAAGAATAATAAAAAAACAACAACTTGACTTCTATTAGATGTTTTGCTTCTCATCTGGGTAGCTTTTTCAAATCAGAGTTTTGAATTTAAAAAGCTCCCTTTCAATTTCACAATAGAAGTCCATTTGTTTAGTTTATTTTTTATGTAACAACAACTCAAAAACAAATGTTAACTACAACAAAAAACAGTTTTTACCGAGGTCCAAACCTGTTTGCGCATGTCAACTTTGGCTCAGGTTRTCCCCAATACACAGGTGACCTTGTGCCCCCCGAGTTGTAGCACGATGAGGTGAAATCCTAAGGTCTGTTTGAGGACCTATGGTCTTGGCAGCTTTTTGTGACAGTGTTTGTCTCTGCATACACACTGACTGGTCATAACAGTTTTACAGCCTATAGGTGGACCAGTGTACCTTTTTGCTAATGAGTATTAAGCTAAGTTCTCTATTTGACCAGGATATAATTTTGCACCTATTCAAGGCTTGTTTGAAAATATGGATCAAAATTATAGCTGCCATTCATTTCCATTCAAAGAAGTAAACACTGTCTTGGCATCAAATATGCAAAAGACTGAATTTATTCAAGTCACACTAAGACAGCCTGAACATGCCTCCCTTTGTTATTAGTGATTGAAAAGAAGTGCACTAACTTGTTAGCATTAAATTTAATACAGGACTTATTTCACGAAAAAAATGAATCTATTAAAATGTCAGAGGTTGAATATCAGAACTGTGTGTGTGTGTGTGTGTGTGTGTGTGTGTGTGTGTGTGTGTGTGTGTGTGTGTGTGTGTGTGTGTGT